GTTGTGGCAGAATCTTTTGTGACAGTTGTTATTGTCAGGCGATCAAGTGTGAGGACCCTTCCTTCACGGCACAAGTTAACTCCATTTTGGTTCTGACAGCTTTGACCTAGTTGTTTTGTATCAGGGTTTCTGCCAGCTCTAACAGAATGTTTAATTTTCTGTTTTTGTGAGTCAAAGAATGATCTGTGAAAGCCACATTATCAGATTGATTATAATATCATAAGGAGTTCATGATGTTTTCTAGAATAGCTTCCTGACCTCCTCTCCCTTGGGAGTGGAGGGCTAAGGACACCCATCTTCAGCTTTTTGTAATTTTGGAGCTCATTCACATTTTTCTTTCAAAATGGGCTCTCTAGGACCTTGAAGATACAGTTGAAGATATTCACCTCTTTTCCATGTTTGCTTTCCTAGGTACAGGAAGAGGGCTGATGAGCAGAACACCCCTGCGGGTGAGAACTTCTCTTTTGTCCTTGAAACCTAACACAGATTTTGGTGCTTTGTTTTTGTGGTTCAAATCAAGTGAATCAAAAGTACTTCACTTCTCTCTTACGATTCCGTCAAGTAGGGTTAAGTTTGCTTCATATAAAAGACAAAACCGAGTGTCTCAGTGCTTAAAAACAGTGCAGAAGTGTATTTTGCTGTCATTTAATAAAGCCTAGAGGGGCCAGACCTGTGGCTTTCAGAGGCTCAGTCTCCTTCTAGCTCTCGGTCCCTCCCAAGCCTGTCTAGGCTCCTGGAGCAAAAGGAGGGAGCAAGGGGGAAAGGCAGTGCAGGGACCCTCCCTGGAAGGATGTTCCCAGTGCCCCGCCCCCATTGGCCAGTGTTCTGATGCTCCGCCTGGCGGCTACTTGGGAGGGAAAAACCTGCTGCCTTTTCTTTGGCCCCTTGCTCTTTAAATGGGACTTTGTTAGGAGAAGAAAGAGAGAAGTCATTTTGGTGTAGGCCTCTCCTAATGCTTCACCACATCAAGGTTTAAAAATCAGGTCATATTGTAGATGCGTGAGGGGTGCTGTTCGTGGTACGGGAGGAGAGCCTGAGCAAGTTGGGGACAAGGCCTGATCCAGGGGTTGCTGCCAACTCTGGGATTGGCAACAAGATTCCAGTCCTTCCTGCTTCTGTTTCCTTACCTGGTAAATAAGGAGATGATCTTTAGGTCCCTTTTAGTTTTTCTCTGTGATATTTTAGAGCATTATGTGACGCATGCTTTTCTTTAAAGTTAGAAATTAATTGTTTCCTTTACCTTAAGTTTATCTAAACTTTTTTTTTCTTTTTTTGGTGTTGTGTATTTTTATATGCAAAGCCTCCCTCAACCCCTGAGCTACACCTCCCGACCCTAAATTTATTTTTAATTCCTTTATTTAATTTGTTTTAAACTCAGCTAAGAAAACGATACCTTTCGATGTTGTAATTCTATTGTGCTGCTTTTGTATTTTTATTAGTTTTCAATTTTTAATGGTGGTAAGATATATAAAATTTAGTTTGCCATTTGGACCATTTTTCATGTACAGTTCAGTACTGTTAAGTATATTCACATTGTTGCGCAATATTTTGTATATTTTCAGAAAGGCATAATAAGTCAATTATGCCTTGACTTATTTGAAGCAAAATTTGAGTAGAAGAAATAGACCTCTCATATATATAGCAGTATCTATAAGTAGTTTTTGTTGAAATTATTAAACAATAATTGGTAGTTGCTTCATTTGTACTTTCAACTGTGACTTTTTAATTAAACTTTTTAAAAAGTAGAGACATTTTACATATAGTGAAATGCACAGATCTTAACTGTATAGCCTGGAGAATTTATTTGTTAAAGAGATATTTACCAATCAAGATATAGAATGTTTTATTTATTTATTTTTTAAAGTAGAAGATCATGGGATGTCTACACTGATCACCTGCTTTATAGATTCAGAAACCATAAATTGAACCCAAAGAGCTTTGAGATAATTTACTGACTGGTTAAATTACTGATGCTGGTTGAAATGAAGGCAGGCTCTTCTATCTGCTTCTTAGTGCTCTATTTGGTGATTGTTACTGGTTCCATGATGTTGTACACTACCAGTGTCTCCAGGGTCCAGTGCCTGTTTGTTACTTTTTGTCTTCATTTTTTCTCTCTGTGGTTGTATCTTAGTAAGAGAAACTGCAATATACACTTTTGCAAGTGGTAGGATGAGAATCTGTGTGCTGGGCTGCCTTCTCTGGCACAGATCTCAGAGATTAGGCCATTGCCTGCTCACTTGGATTTCACTGGATAGTTTTTTTTTTTTTTTTAAGAAAAAGGGGTCTCATTATGTTTCCCAGGCTGGTGCCAGACTCCTGGGCTCAGTTGATCCTTCTGTCTATGCCTCCTGAATAGTTGAAACTAAGCAGCATGCTGCTGTGCCAAGCTTTGTTGGATGGAACTTTTTGAGTGGTTTGTGCCTGTGCCCCCAGGTATCACTGGTTCCTCACATAAGAAATTAGAAGAACTATATGGTTTCAAGTGTTTCCATGTTTCCTTCCTGTGCCGGTTTGACAGGTGGGAGTCATTCCCATTCTGAACTTTTAATTCTGTGTGGTTGTTGAACTAGTGTTCGAGCAGACTCATCTGCTGACTCAGGGAATTGGGAGTGAGCCTGCTGTTGGGCTTATTTGTGGCGAGTAGTACGGGCTTTTGGGTAGATGATTGCGGGATCAGTGACTTCACAATATGTACAAGTCCATCCCAAAATACTGGTGTCCTAAACTTTATTTTCTTTTTGGCAAGGAGGGACAGATGATTATTTCATTGCCTGAGAGTTGCCTGCTCACCACGGAAACAGTGATTCGAAGCTACTTAGGGGTGTACATTACTAAGTAAGTGGCCACATCATGTTGATCTGGTGCCAGTGCTTCTCCTGAATGCCTTTGTCATGGCAAATGTGTTATCCAAGGCACAGTTCAGTAGGATCCAGATGGTTGTCTAGCAGATAAATATCTGAACTCAATTGAATGCAAATTGAAAGGTATATTCTGTCCTAGAAGTTTATTCTTCCTGCATATAAACTGCATTTTGAAGTCTTTAATAATAGACTGCAGGGGACACAGGTGTGAGTCCTGACCCATCACCTAACTAGAAAGTGGAGGTTAAATGGGACCATATATGTAAATCACAGTCAAGTGCCTTGATAGGTAGCAGTTGTTCCCTTGGTCATAGTAGGTATCCACGGGGGTTAGTTAACCCTTTCTTTTAGTTTAACCCTTATTTTTATGTGCTTGAATTCTTCCTCAACTATGAAGAGGTTTAATATTATGAAAGAATTAATTAATTAATTCTTTCATAATATTAAAGAATTAATTAATTCTCTTTAGGTATAGAGAGGAGGTGAAGTGGGAGTTAAGAAAGCTGAGAGTATTTTCTGGCTCATTTCTGGTGGGCATTTGTTTGGGTGCACCTCAGCGGAAGGAGTTTCTACATTATGGGTTGAAAGGTTGTGCTGTTGCTTAATCCTAAGGACAGCTCTGGGCACCCGCCCTTGCATCTTTGTATTGGCTGACTGCGGGCAAGGTTGCCCTTAGGGTTAACCTTTTCTCATTCATTCTTTAGTTTTAGGTGGAATGCATCTCAATATAAGAATCTGGATATTTGGATATTAAAAGATTAATGATAACTTTTTCTAAACACATTCATGCCACATGAGATATTTTATCAGTAATTATTTAATGAAAATTATGTAATTTCTAACAAAGCACGTAAGTTTAGTGAGTGTATTATGATTTCACTCAGTGCCATCCTGTAGAATGCTGGGCAGTGACAGAGGTGTTTTATTTTGCATTGTCTAAAATGGTAGCCACTGGCAGAAATGGCTTTTGAGTAATTGAAATGTGACTTACTGTACAAAGGAACTGAATTTTAAATATTAATTTAATTCTAAATAAACAGCTACATATACCTATGGTCCCTATATTGGATGGTATACGTCTAGGTTTTTTTTTCCACCATTTTTTTTCCCCATTGTATTCTATACCCTTATCCAGGTGAAACCAATGGGCTTATGGCAGAAGCTTTCAAACAGGAGAACAAAGTTGGAAGCAAAGAGGTGTTTTATTGATTTTTGTTTTCAAAAACATGTAAAAAATCTTGTAAACAGTCCTGAAATCTGTAGAGTCAGCTTTTCTGACACATAAATGTGGCTTTTTGAGGTCCCTGGCCAGGATGTACTTTGGAGAAGAGCCTTAAGGAAGGAGACGGCTCTTGGGGTGTTAAGTCAGCATAGGGCGTGTCCACCGTTGGAGCACAGTTCTCCCTGCAGCAAACCAAAGTACTTAGCTTATTCCATATTTCAAGTCAGAGTAACTCCTTCAATCTGACCTTAATTTTTCAAGGTGGAAGCCTCGTCCCTCTCCTCTGCTGGCTCTGTGCACCTTTTTAGTGTCAGAAAGGCATGCTGGGGACCGGTCTCTCTGGAAGCCTTACTTGCAGATTTTACCCAAGACCTACACCTGCCCTGTTTGTTTGGAGCCAGAAGTGGTGAATCTTCTACCCAAAGCGTTAAAAGCAAAGACTGAAGAGCAGCGAGCCCATGTGCAGAAGCTTTTCACCTCCTCCAGAGACTTTTTCTCTTCCCTGCAGCCTCTGTTTGCAGAGCCCATTGACAGCATCTTCAGCTACAGCGCCCTCCTGTGGGCCTGGTGCACTGTCAACACCCGAGCTGTGTACCTGAGGCCTAGGAAGCAGGAATGCCTTTCTGCAGAGCCGGACACCTGTGCGCTTGCTCCATACCTGGATTTGTTGAATCACAGCCCTCACGTCCAGGTGAGAAGCTGACATGGTGACACATGTCTGTTTTGATAGGAAGATTTCAGTGTGTAGAACCTGGGACTTTGAATAGTGAGCGAGACCAATGGGGAAAGTGTAGCTGACTTCGGGGAAATCTGTGGGATCCATTCTGGGTTTTTCTTTTTGACTCCATTATCCTTCTGGAATGCTTTTTCTTTGCCCCATTTCTCCGCTTTGCTGTCCAGGCCTCAGGAGCCCTGGGCTCCATCCTCTAAGCTACCTTTACCAGCAGCTCGAGTCCTCCTTCCTTCATGCTCCTTCTAGACCGGGCCGAGGTCTAGCTTCTTTCCTGTCCCATCCCTTTTGCACTTGGTGGCACAGCTGTCAGAGCATTAACCTTTGCTCTGATCACGAGGGACTCCTCCTTCCTGCATTAAGCACCAAAATCTTTGTGGATGGGGACTTTTTGTTCTCTCTGGAACCCCAGGGCTTAGGGCAGAGTTTGGCATATAATAGATGTTTGGTAAACTTTTATTAAATAGATGAATATTTGTGGGGAGAGGAGTCAGGAAATCATGAAGAATCCTACTTTGGGAGATAGCCACAGAGTCACAGATACCCTCTTTCCCTTGGTGGCAGGTATGGGAGATGGGTGTGTCTGCAGGGTAAATGGGTATGTGAGGTAAAGGGCTGACTTTCAGGTGGAGAGGAGTTCATCAGTGGGCTTGCCTGTGGGTGAGGGGTGCACAAGGGATGCACTGTGCAGGCGCATGGCTGGCTCTGCTTGTGCTCTTCTCTTTATGTGACATGCGTCCACGAGGACATCAGAGGTGCCAGTGAGAGGAGATTGGGAAGGCCTGCTGTGCTTGCTTAGGCCCAGGACAATGCCTGGCCTGTCCGATTATTACTGTTACAGAAAGATGCTTTTTCCACAGTGTGACCCACAGGGGTCAGGGGTCAGAGGGGTGTTTCTTTTGATATATACGAATAATGCCAGCGTGTGTAGTGCCGTAGGATGCTGAACTTAGGGACTCAGTCACTACCCATTGGTGTGACTTTATTTTGATGGGGCTTTTGGTGCATATATGCTTCAAAGCAGTGATTTTATAGACTACTATAGGAAGACCACGAACTGCTGCCTGTGAGTGTGTGGCCTGGGTTCCTGAGCTTCTAAGAATGGTTAGTTCAGTTTTAAAGGATTACCCAAAAATAACTTATGACAGAGGCCACAGCTCAGCTTTTTAGTTTTATATGTAAAATAATCTCTAACAAATTTCCACTCTAGGTAAATGCAGCATTTAATGAGAAGACTCGTTGTTATGAAATTAGAACAGCTTCCGGTTGTAGAAAGCACGAGGAGGTATTCATCTGCTATGGCCCACACGACAACCAGCGGCTGCTGCTGGAGTATGGCTTTGTTTCCCCCTGCAATCCTCACGCTTGTGTTTATGTCTCAAGAGGTTGGAATCAATTTTGCTTTTGTTATTAAGACAATTTTTTGTCCCACTTGGATATGTTGTTATTTTGAGTTTTATTAAAAATAGTAAAACATTGAAACATACCTACACATCATTTACTTTATCCTGGGTAGAGCTAGCCCTATTCTTTCTAACTGTGCAGTCTCAATATTGAACTCAAAACAGCAAAGCTTTGGTTGATAAAGTGGATAAGAACTGAGCAGAGTTTTATTGCACGAGGTCAGAGGCCTATACTGGAAGAAACCTAGACCTACACTGTCCATACAGGGACCACTGGGTGCATGGAGCTGTTTCAATTTAAATTGCTTACAATTAAATGAATATTTAAAATTCATTCCTTAGTAAGGCAAGCCACATCTCAAGTGGTTGAAAGCCATTTCTGACTAGTGGCCACCATATTGGACAATGCAAAAGGAAAGGAAGATTTCTAAGGAGATAAGCATAGTATTATTAGATCGAAGGAAATGGAAATATTTGTACTGAAGCCTTGATACTGAAGATAGGTTTAGAAAGCAGGGAATGAAAATGTTAAGATACTGTGTTAATCAAAGAGATAAGTGTAATATGTAATCCTATGTTTGGAGATTAATGCCATGGTTAAAAAAAATTGATTTCACTTGTGTTCTTTTGTGGTCTGCTAACTAGCCATTGTCATTGATGATAATATTTTAAAATAATAATTTAGTCATTAAATTTATGATGTGAAAATTCCAAATTTAGTATTTGAAATAGTACATAGAAGGCTGATTTTTGTTTTTCTTCTGAAGTAGTAGTGGTGGTTTGGAGATCATGAAGAAATGTCTAGAGATTTCCCCAGTAGATAATTTGAAGTAGTCATGTGTAAGTTGAAAGGGACATAGAAATGGTGAAGGTTATGCTTTGCATCCTTTGCACAGACTAATAATACTCCTCAAAATATAAATAAAACAACTAAAATTGGGCCTTGCAGAGTCTCTTGGAAAACTTGCTTTGAGGTTGGCTCATGTTTCAGAATCCTCCTAACTTTAATATTGATGGCTATGAAATGATAGTTGTCAAATAAATTAATTTGAAGAAAAATCACATTTTTGTTAAAAAATAAAGAAAGGGCTTTGGGTACAATCCAATAGTAGAACACTTGCCTAATATATGCTAGGCCCTACACACATAGAAAGAAAAAACCCTTCTTACCCTGTCCTATTCTCCAAATAACTGTCAATTTTTACATATTTGCATTTTTTTTTGTAATTGCAACCAGTCATTATTATGCTATTTGAATTCTGCCTTTTAAAAACTCTTGTTACAAGACTTCTCTCATGTTTTTTACAGAGCCTGTGTTTGGTTGGTTGTGGTTTTCCAAGTTATTACCATGTCTTAATGACCTGGTTTTGTTCATTGATTGACTTAATGGGAACATGAACTCAGCTTGTGGGTGTTCTGTCCTGAGGCCTTGGAATTCTTACAGTTTTTCAGGGACTAAATAATGATCTCAGTGAACTGGACTTGAAAAGTAGATTTCCTTCATGTGACTTAGGAAAAACTGTTTATACTTGATCCTAATGGGAAGGAAAGTAAGTGCAGATGGAGAGGGAAGGTACACTTTTGTGTGAATTATACCCTAAATTTCTGTATTAATTTTTTTTAATGCAGATACACTTGTTAAATATCTTCCATCAACTGATAAACAGATGAACAAAAAGATTTCCATTCTAAAGGATCATGGCTTTATAGAGTAAGTGTTTCCCTTTCCCTTTTGAAATTACTCTTTTAGGAAGTTTTCTTGAAAAAATTGAGGTTGGATTTTCCATGAAACACCTCCTAACTCCATCAGCTCACTGGTAGGTATTAGTTGAACACTTACTGTGTGCAGAAAAGTGGTGCTCACTGTTGTGGAGGAGAGGACACAGGACTAAGACACTTTAAAGAAACTTATTTGAGGGGCTGGGGTTGTGGCTCAGCGATAGAGCGCACATCTAGCATGTGTGCGGCCCTGGGTTCGATAAAGATAAATAATAAAATAAGGTATTTTGTCCAACTACAATTAAAAAGAAAAGAATAAAATAAATAAGTAAAAAACAAACTTGAACTATTCAATACTGTATTAAAAGAGAGCCCCCTGCCTCTGCCTTGTGGCAAGGCCGGATGGCTTTCAGTAGAACCAGTCACCAGCATCATGGTACAGGCGCTGGGGAAGGTGTGTTTGGTGGTTCCACACTACATGGGTAGATAGGCCTTTGGGTTCTCCCTTCCAAATTTTCTTTGAGGATAAAATTAAGGTTTAAAATTAAGATAGCTCTCACATAGCAGATGAGTGAGAGCTATCTGGCTGCGGTAGCATCCAGATTCTTCCATCATTCATCACTATGAACTTTGTCCTGTGCATCTCTTAACCAAGTTTTGCTTCTTACTAAAAGTGATTGGAAGAATAGCTTTTTATTCATTCCTCTCTCTCTCTCTCTTTTTGTACCAGGGATTAAATCCAGGGGTGCTTAACTACTGAGCCACATCCCTAGACCTTTTTATTTTTTATTTTGAAACAAGGTCTCAATAAGTTGCTTACAGCTTAGCTAAATTGCTGAGACTAGCCGCAAACTTTCGATCCTCCTGCCTCAACCTCCTGAGCTGCTGGGATTACAGATGAGCGCTGGCAGCTTTTTATTCTTTAAAAGAATTTAAAAAGAGAATTTTTTGTTTCTTAGACTTTATTCTTAAGTACTCTTAAGTATTTATTCTTAAGTATTGTTTTGACCAACATCATAGGTAACAATGTTCTAAAAAATGCTCTAAAAAATGTTTGGCTTATCAACCATTTGTCATGGTGTCATGAAATACTGAAATGACAGAAATGTCTTTGTTTTTCTACTTTAGAAATTTGACATTTGGATGGGATGGGCCATCTTGGAGGTTACTCACAGCTCTTAAGTTGTTATGTCTGGAAGCTGAAAAATTGTAAGTTCCACGTGTATTGGTCTGAAGTTGTAGTCACAACCTAGACACAATTTGGGGGTGTTGGCTTTTATTTAAATACCCAAACAGAGGAAAAAAGAAAGGCCATTCTGTATGTAACTGACTCATCCAGGGCGAATTTTGCCATTTCAACCATTTCTGGATTCTGGTTTTAGAGTCATAATCACGTACATGGCTCTGGAAGTTTTCATTCTCAACTCTTGTGTTTCTCTGCTGGTGACCTGATGGCTTTTGTGAGCAGTGTCACCATTCAGCATCAAGACTCAAGAGTAGGTCTGCTTTTCCTGGGAGCAGCAGAGCTCCTCACACAGCCCTGCCTGTCAGTTGCCAGGGCAGACCCAGAAGCTATGTTAGAGAGCCCTGGGGTTTTCCATGGGGAGACAGGTGGAGGAGCCCCGGCAGGCTGCCTCGCAGTCCTGTGAAGCTGTCAGTGCCCCTCGCAGCAGCCTCCTGTCAGCACCTTTGGGTGTGCTCTGCCTAGCACAGGGCTGCTGCAGCCTGGGGCCTCCTCAGGGAAGCAGCCTTCATCTTGCTGCTGCCCTGCATGGAGGGAGGACTTCTTGAAGACGGTGAGGCCTGAGGAGTAAATGAATAATGCTTAGAAATTGCTCTTAGCACGGTGCTGGATGTAGTCGGTGCTCACTCAGTGCGGCCTGCTGTGCATGATGCTGCCTTCTTCTCTTCCTGTAGGAACTTGGGAAACAGACGATCTCAACCATGGGCAGCACAGATTTGCACTGTGCAGGTCCTTATTCATGGAACTTTTTGGAAATTTGAAGTAATTTGAAAACCCTTGCAGATGAATTGCATAGCCTACAACTACTTTAAAAATTAAGAAAAAGTTAGCTATGTCATGAAAACATCAAATATGTATAGATAATAGTCCATTTTATCATTTGCCACCATAAATATACAGAAAGTTAAATTTTATCAAAATTTTTGCACAAACATATCAGAAAGATGCAGTTTTAAATCCTAACTGCATAAAATTCGGTGTAGTGAATATTGTGCTACTGTAATACCTTTGTGTCCCTCCTGTTGCTATTGTGGTGTTTGGAATGTCTGCTTAAAACTCTGCTGATCATCTCTGCCTGAGCATTTGTCTCTGCAGTAAGTTATGTATCACAGTAAAAGCCATTTTTCCCAGCCCTTGTGTGTTTTCCGCCATATATGATACACACAGCACACAACATATGTATTAATCGATTATATTATTGTTAAGGCTTGCAGTCACCAGCAGGCTAGTAGTAGTTAAATTTGGGGGGAGTCAGCAGTTATCTGTGGCTGGGACAGTGGCACCTGTAATCCCAGCAATTTAGGAGGTTGGGTCAGGAGGATCAGAAGTTTGAAGCCAGCCTCAACAACTTAGTGAGGCTCTAAGCAACTTAAAGAGACCCTATCTCAAAATAAAAATTAAAAAGGGCTGGGGATACAGTTCAGTGGTTAAATGCCCCTGGCTTCAATCCCTGGTAC